GTCTCGTACTTTATTTCCAGTGAAGAACAAGACAAACTTACCAGCTCGCAGGCCGGCTTATATGTGCAATAAACCCCACACCCTTGATAGGCTATTTACAGTGGCTGAGAGTTCCATAGGCTCTCGGCCGGGAGCCTAGCTCTCTGATTGGCACGGGCTTTGTTTACCTTTCTTGCAGGTATTAACACCTGGACTGAGCAAGAGGATCAAGCCAAAGGGCTTTTGGCCTATTCCTCACAGCCTGCAGTCTGCGTTAGGGGGGCTCAATCGATCCAGGCCTGTCCAAGCTGTGTTTGTTTTGTTCATTTATTTGTACTATTTGTTTAAATTGGTAAACTGCCATTTCGGTGTAGTTTGATGAGCCTCTTTGGGTCCCGTGATGGGGGGGGGGGAAGCTGCATACAAATATTGTAAATAAGCATAAAACAAATTGGGCTTTTTTCTAGTTACCTTTCAAAGCCAACCAAACAAGTGAATTTTCTTTAGACTGGAAAAGTGACTTGTGAGGTTGCCAATCTCCTGGTGGGCTTGGAAAACTCCCAGCATAACAACTGGTTTCCAGACTACAGAGATCAGTTTCCCCGGAGAAATGGCTGCTTTGGAAGGCGGTCTGTATGGCCTTGTACCCCACCGAGGTCCCTCCGCTCCCCAAACCCTGCCTTCCGCAGGCTGCATCTCCCCAAATCTCCAGAGCTGGCAACATTAGTTGTGGCTCACAAAAGCTCCTAGGAATAATAAATGTTGTTAGTCTTTAACTTCTGGACTTTTACTGAGTTCCAGTATATGGGGAGAGGGAGAAAAATGGTCTCTGTGGTTCACTTCGTCCGGCCCCGTGTGCGTCTCCCTCTTGCAGCGATGAACACGAATTTATAGGGGGGGTGGTGGTGGCAGAGGCGCCTCCTATCTGGTGCTCTAAGGGTTAAGTTAACAACCGAGCTCTGCTCCGCAGAGAGGCAGGAAATGTAGGGGGAAAGGGGGGGAATGAATAGTGAATGCACCTTCCTGTCCCATTGAGCTTGGAAGTGGACATTGGCCTTGCGACTTTCTTTGGAGAGGAGCGGGCTTTGTGGTGCATGGAGGGAGCCAGAAATTAAAGGTAAAAAATAATATAATAAAATCCGTGCCACAGGGTGGGAGGGAGAAATTGGTGGGCTTTGGGGGAGGACGAAGGGAGGAATTATTGCCGGATGTGTGTGTGTAAGGAGGTATGAATGGCACTGCTGCAGATTTAGACCAAGAGTCATTCCCTTGCTTTCTGCACCCCAGAAACTGGTTACTGTCATTGTACTTGGTGGCTACATTCTTGACTGTCCAGACAATTCCCAAATCCATCAGATCCTGTGGTCTTAATTGACTGATACAAGTGATTGACAAAACAACGTAAAAACACAAGATGGCAAAACCCATAATTGACTGAATTTATAATCTGATTTGGGACTGGAGAGAGTCTCCATAACATAAATTTTTGTTAAAAACACAAGATTGCAAAACCCGTAATTGATTTGGGAATGGAGAGAGTCTCCATAACATAAATTTTTGGAATCATAGAGCTGTTAGGTGTGTTTTCTTTCTTTTTTTCTTTCTTTCTGGGTCACCCTGCCAGAGATGGGGGACAGCAGGGTTGTTGATCTATATACAGAGGGATCCAGTAGCAAGAACCTCTGTCTGGGTGGTTACAGTGGGATTTCATTTGCATGGCACTTAAAAAGTGTTCAAACCATTTCACGTCTCTTATTGCAGCAATCCTAGCAAACCGTACCCAAAGGCAGTCTAGTATTATCTCATTCTATCAGGGAAGGAGCGAAGAAGATACAGACAACCCAAATCAGTGCTTACATTTCCAAACGTCTGTGTACTATAACAGGTCTCCAGGTGGTTTTTTAAACATGTATTTAATGTTAGATTGCTGAATGTGATCAGGGACGGTAAGTGAGGGCTCTCCTCAGGCCTTCCCTCTGCTGATGAAGTTGGTTACCCTCTTCTTTGGCAGCAAGGGTGGCAACTGAGGGCTGGCCTCTGGCTCTTCTTTGCCAAGGGAGTTATGTCTTCTCTTCTGGTGGCACAGATGGCAAATGAGGGCTGTCTTTAACCTTCTTTCTGCTGAGGAAGTGGGTACCTTCTGTGCCAGCAGTAGGAGTGGCAAATGAAGGCTGGTCTCAGGCCTTTCTTTGCCAGGGGAGTTCTATCCTCTTCTAGTGGCACAGATGGTAAATGAGAGCTGGCCTTAGGCCTTCCCTTTGCTGAGGAAGCTGGTGCTTTCTTTGCTGGCAGCAAGGGTGGGAAACGAAGGCTGGCCTCAGGCCTTTTCCAAAGCAGTTGTGTTTTCTCTTCTGGTGGCATGGATGGCAAATGAGGACTGTCTTTAGGCCTTTGCTGAGGAAGCAGGTGCCTTCTTTGCTGGCAGCAAGCATGGCAGATGAAGGTGTCTTCAGTCCTCTCTAATGAGGAGGTTGATGACGTTTATGCCAGCAGCAAGAGTGGCAAATGAGGGCAGGCCTCAGGCCCTCCCCCCTGTTAAGGTAGTTGGTGTCTTCTCTCATCAGATGAGTGAAAATTTTTGTTCAGATATGCTTCACTTTGCCCTCATTAATACTGAATTTCCTTTCCTATTGGCCAGGAATAAAAATGGAGGCATACAGCCCAGCAGCAAGACCCTTTCAGAAGGAGATATTAGAGGCAGGAGAGAAAACCTCTCATGCTGTCCAAGTTGGAACCATCAGGGAGCTTCTGTCTGGGGCAAATCCACACCAGATTAAGCAGGAGCCAGGAGAGGGACTGGAGCAGCACTGGGAATCTCAGTGGCAGGACTTTGTGAAGACGACGCAGTCCTCTCGCTCGAGGCGGAAAAACCCACCGTTGCCTCAGCCCCGGTCAGGAGGAGGGCTGAGGGGAAATCCGGCCTCCTTCAAGGCCGCAGCTGACACTGGCCAGTGGCTTAGAAAACTGGGCGTGACCCAAACCTTGCAGTGCCCTGATGGAAAAGGCCGCGAAGCCTGCGATCAGCTCATTTCCTCTGTGAAAGTAAAGGAAGAGATGGTGGATGAGGAAGAGCCCGCCAGCCTGGAGACGGAGCGCCAGCAGTTCCGGCGCTTCTGCTACCAGGAGGCCGAGGGCCCTCGAGAGGTTTTCATTCAGCTCCAGGAACTTTGCTATCAGTGGCTGAAGCCGGAGAAGCACACCAAGGAGCAGATCCTGGAGCTGCTGGTTCTGGAGCAGTTCCTAATTATCCTGCCCCCAGAAATGCAGAGCTGGGTGAAGGAATGTGCGCCGGAGAGTTGTGCCCAGGCAGTGGCCCTGGCAGAGGATTTCTTGCAGCGGTTGCAGGAGGCGGATGGCCTGGAAGACAAGGTAAGCACCCTTCATCCTCTCTACATCAGGATGTGCAGAGATGGTGAGACTAACTGTAGAATTCATTGGTACCTTGAAGACTAACTGTACCTTAAAGATGAATTCAGGTGGGTAGCTCTGTTGGTCTGGAGCAACAGAACAAAGTTTGAGTCCTGTGGCAACTTTTAAGACCAACAAGTTTAATTCTGGGTCAGTGTCCCCTCTAAGCTGAGTTAGTGTGAGCTAGCTCACAGTTTTTTAGCCTCCAGCTCACAGATTTTTTGTCCTAGCTCAGGAAGGACGGCTCCAGAGCAAGCTAATTTATGCAGTAGTCAAATTGCTCACTCACAACTTTAATGCCAGTCGCTCACAAAGAAGAAATTTTGCTCACAGGACTCTGCAGCTTAGAGGAAACATTGTTCTGGGTATACGTTTTTGTGTGCATGTGCACTTCTTGAGATAACAGTGAAACAGATTTCTACAACTGTTACATATAGGTAGAGGGGGGGTTAGTTGCCAGGATGGGCTAGTTAGAGTCAAGATGCATAAGTAACTGGGTGATAAGTATAATCCAATCTCAGTGATACTTATCGCCCCATCACTTATGCATCTTGACTTTAACTAGCCCATCCTGGCAACTAACACCCCCCCCCCCACACACCTATATGTAACAGTTGTGGAAATCTGTTTCACCGTATCTCAAGAAGTGCGCATGCACACAAAAACTTATACCCAGAATTAAACTTTTGGGGGTATTTTTTTGCAATTTGTGTGCATGTATGCGCGTGTGCATGCCCTTGCCTGGAAGTCATGGTGACCTCTGGTGACTCCTACTGGGTCACGGAGGACATTCGGAGAAGTGGCTTGAAAGCCTGCCTTTGGCCTCCTGGCCCTGGTAGTCTCCGGAGGTCTCCCATCCAAGTACTTGCCAGGGTCTGCCCTTCTTAGCTTCCGAGATCGGGCTTGCCTGGGCTATCCAGGTCAAGGCATGCCTAGAATTAAACTTGCTGGTTGTAAAGGTGCCACTGAACTCAAATTTTGTTCTTTACCTTAAAGACTCACTGTAGAATTCAGTGGCACCTTAAAGACTAACAATTTATTCCAGCATATGTTTATGCTAGTCAGTGCTTCGCTTCATCAGAGGCATTGGAGTGCATGCCAACAGCAGATATAATTAAAGTTACAACCACAGAAAGGTGGGAGTGGGGAGATGCTATGAAGAGAGGCCGGTCCGAGTGTGTGGCCCCATCTCCCCATGGGGTAAGTGGACCGGAGTGGACTCTTTGCTCTCAGTTTTTTAGGTACAGTTTGCATTTGGATGGAAAGGTCTGTGCCTGAGGGTTGTTGGGTTTCTGCTCCAGATGGCTCGATGCAGTGCCTTCTGCGATGAAAAACTCTAGACGGGTAGCCCTGTGAGTCTGCTGCAGCAAAATAAAGAACAAGGAGTTGAGCGGCACCTTAGAGACTAACAAAATCCAGGGAGAGGCTGTGGCACGGTGGCTGAGCCTCTGCTTTGCATGCAGGTAAATCCCAGGTTCAGTCCCCGGCATCTCCACTTAAAAAGACCAGGCAGTAGGTGACGTTAAACCCCTCCACCCGCAATCCTGGAGAGCTGCTGCCAGTCTGATTAAACAAGACTGATCCAGATGGACTGATGGTGTGCTTCAGTGTAGGGCAGCTTCATGTGTTCGTTCATAAGGTTTTGAGAGTCACCGCTGAGATGCATGAAGTGTAAATGCAAAAAATTCATCTCGGTGGAGAGATATAAACCTAAGTGACAGTGTGTTGAGGAAGCACCTGGTTCAATCCCTGGCACACACACCCCCACACACTAAATAAGGATCTTGTGCGGGATCTTGTACACGAAAAAGCCAATGCCAGTTGGCACATAGGTTCAACAGACAGGTGGGGTGTTCAAGAGACTGGTAGTCTGTTCAAGTAGTAAGTTCAACAGACCTGTAGTCTGACTTGGTATAATGCATGTTCACCAGCAAACTAGCACTGCTTTCAGAAGGAGCCATGGTTCAGTAGCAGAACATCTGCTTGGCGTGCAGAAGGCCCCCAGTTCAATCCCCGGGATCTTCAGTTAAAAGGATCTGGCAGTTGTTGTTGTTGTTCAGTCGCACAGTCGAGTCCGACTCTTCGCGACCCCATGGACAATCTCCCGCCAGGCTCTCCTGTCTTCCGCCGTCCTCCGAAGTTGGCTCAATTTCATGTTCGTTGCATCGCTGACACTGTCTAACCATCTCATCCTTTGCCGTCCCCGTCTTCTTTGACCTTCAATCTTTCCCAGCATCAGGGTCTTTTCCAGTGAGTGCTCCCTTCTCATTTGGTGGCCAAAGTATTTGAGCTTCAGTTTCATTATCTGGCCTTCCAGGGAACAGTCAGGGTTGATTTCTTTGAGGATTGACTGATTTGTTCTTCTTGCAGTCCAAGGGACTCTCAAGAGTCTCCTCCAGCACCATAGTTCAAAAGAATCTATTCTTCGGCGCTCGGCCTTCCTTATAGTCCAACTCTCACAGCCATACATGACTACTGGGAATACCATTGCTTTGACCATGCGGACTTTTGTTGGCAGGGTGATGTCTCTACTTTTTATCATGCTGTTTAGGTTCGCCATCGCTTTCCTCCCAAGGAGCAGGCGTCTTTTAATTTCATGGCTGCAGTCACAGTCTGCAGTGATCTGGGATCCCAGGAACGTGAAGTCTGTCACTACTTCCACGACTTCCCCTTCTATTTGCCAAGGAGTGATGGGGCCGGATGCCATGATCTTAGTTTTTTTGATGTTGAGCTTCAAGCCCACTTTTGCGCTCTCCTCTTTTACTCTGAGCAAGAGGCTCTTTAGATCCTTTTCACTTTCAGCCATTAGAGTGGTATCATCTGCATATCTGAGGTTGTTGATCTTTTCCCCAGCAATCTTAATTCCCGCTTGTGATTCATCCAGGCCAGCATTTCGCATGATGTACTCTGCATATATATTAAATAAGCAAGGCGACAATATACATCCTTGTCGTACTCCTTTTCCTATGCTGAACCAATCAGTTGTTCCATATCCGGTTCTAACTGTCGCTTCTTGGCCCTTATACAGGTTTCTCAAGAGACATGTGAGGTGGTCTGGTACTCCCATCTCTTTAAGGACCTGCCATAGTTTGTTGTGATCCACACAGTCAAAGGCTTTAGCATAGTCAATGAAGCAGAAGTAGATATTTTTCTGGTACTCTCTTGCTTTCTCCATAATCCAGCGAATGTTGGCAATATGATCTCTCGTTCCTCTACCTCTTCGAAACCCAGCTTGTACTTCTGGTAGTTCTCTATCCACGTACTGTTGAAGCCTAGCTTGTAGGATCTTGAGCATGACCTTGCTAGCGTGTGATATGAGTGCAATTGTGCGATAGTTTGAACATTCCTTGGCATTGCCCTTCTTTGGGATTGGAATGTATACTGACCTTTTCCAATCCTGTGGCCACTGTTGCGTTTTCCAAATTTGCTGGCAAATGGAGTGCAGAACTTTAACAGCATCATCTTCTAAGACTTTGAATAGCTCAGCTGGAATACCATCACCTCCACTAGCTTTGTTGTTAGCAATGCTTTCTAAGGCCCATTTAACTTCACATTCCAGGATGTCTGGCTCGAGGTCAGTGATTATACCGTCGTGGTTGTCAAGGACATCGAGGTCTTTCTTGTATAGTTCTTCTGTGTATTCTTGCCATCTTTTCCTAATCTCTTCTGCTTCTGTTAGGTCCCTACCGTTTTTGTCCTTTATCATGGCCAGCTTTGCATGGAACGCTCCCTTGATTTCTCCAACTTTCTTGAAGAGATCTCTAGTCCTTCCCATTCTATTGTTTTCTTCTATTACTTTGCACTGTTCATTCAGGAAGGCCTCCTTATCTCTCCTTGCTGTTCTCTGGAAATCTGCGTTCAGTTGGGTAAATCTTTCCTTTTCGCCTTTGCCTTTCGCTTTCCTTCTTTCCTCTGCTATTTGTAAAGCCTCATCAGAAAGCCACTTTGCTTTCTTACATTTCTTTTTCTTTGGGATGGTGGTGATTGCTGCCTCCTGTACGATGTCACGAACCTCTGTCCATAGTTCTTCAGGCACTCTATCTATCAAATCCAGACCCTTGAATCTATTCTTCACCTCTACTGTATATTCATCAGGGATGCGATCTAGGTCAAACCTGAATGGCCTCGTGGTTTTCCCAATTTTCTTCAGTTTAAGTCTGAATTTTGCAATGAGTAGCTCATGATCTGAACCACAGTCAGCTCCAGGTCTTGTTTTTACTGACTGGATAGAGCTTCTCCATCTTTGACTGCAAATTATATAGTCAATCTGATTTCGGTGTTGCCCATCTGGTGATGTCCATGTGTAGAGTCGCCTCTTAGGTTGTTGGAAAAGGGTGTTCGCTATGACCAGTGTGTTCTCTTGACAAAACTCTGTTAACCTTTGCCCTGCTTCATTTTGCTTTCCAAGGCCAAACTTGTCTGTTATTCCAGTTACCTTTTGACTTCCTACTTTAGCATTCCAGTCCCCTATGATGATGAGGACATCATTTTTTGGTGTTAGTTCTAGGAGGTGTTGTAGGTCTTCATAGAACCGGTCCACTTCAGCCTCTTCTGCATCAGTGGTTGGGGCATAGACTTGGATTACTGTGATGTTGAATGGTTTGCCTTGGAATCGGACAGAAATCATTCTGTCATTTTTGAGATTGTAGGGGGGATCTGTGGCTCCCCCAGCTGCCTGAAATTCTAGGATTGCTCAACAATTCCCAGGATCTCTGGGAGGCTGTGCTGATCATCAGCCGTTTGCATAAAACTCTCTGGCTAACTTTATTTCTTGAGAAAGATGCTTTTCATTAAAGCTGCTCTGTTTACTGAGTTGATCGGTTATAGTGCAAATCAGACCCTTGGCCTGTAAAGACCAGTACTGTCGTATCTGAGTATTCTCTCTGATGGGCAGTGACCAGTCTTCCAAATCACACAGGAAGTTGCCTTAGACTGAATCAGATCCTTGATCCATTAAGGCCAGTATTGTCTATTCAGACTAGCAGCAGCTCTCCAGGCTTTTAGGCAGAGGTTTTTCACATCACCTACTACCTGGTCCTTTTTAACTGAAGATACCCAGGATCAATGTTCCCTCTAAGCTGTGGAGTCATGTGAGCAAAAATTCTACTTTGTGAGCTACTGGCATTAAAGTTGTGAGCGAGCCATTTGGCTACTGCATTAAATTGGTTTGCTCTGGAGCCCTCCTTCCTGAGCTAAAACAAAAATGTGTGAGCTGGAGGCTAAAAAACTGTGAGCTAGCTCACACTAACTCAGCTTAGAGGGAACAGTGCCCAGGATTGAACTTGGGACCTACTGCATGCCAAGGAGATGTTCTACCACTGAGCCATGGCCCTTCCCCAAAACAATTTGGTATCTAATGAAGGGTGCTTTCTGTCTTGAAAGCTTATCTAGTTGGTCTTTATGATGCTACTGGACTCAAATCTAGCTGTTCCCGAAAACAAGTGTGCCTTTTCCACCTTTAGAATAATGGTGTCAAGATTTGATTGATTAACCAATTCAGTCATTGAGAAAATAAGGGCCTTGCTGGGTTGGACCAAGAGTCCCTGTAGCCCAGCATCCTGTGTCCCAAAGTAACCAACCAGATGCCCTGTCCATAAAGAAGGCAAGAAGGGGAAAGCCCTCTCCTGTGGTTGCTTCCCCATAGTTAATATTTAGAAATCTACTGTGTCTGAATGTGGAGGTTCCATTTACCATCAAGGCTAACATCTGTTAACAGGAATAATGAATTTATCTAATCCGCTTTTACAGCTTTTTAAACTCAAGATGATCATGTCATCTTCTGACAAAGAATTCTCTTAAGTTATTGCTTTGAACAAAGGAGTACTTCCTTTTGTCTGCCCTGAATCATTTGCCCATCAACGTCATTGTGGGCTTCTGAATTGTAATATGATGGGGGAGGGGGTGAGCCTGTATCCATTGTCTGCACTTTGTTAAACCCCTGTAAGTCTCCCTCCAGTTGGTGTTTTTTTTTTAAATAAACTTAAAATGCCCTACAATTCTTTGGAAAGGATGCCATAACCTCAGCATCACCCCCAAGAAGTCCTTATCTCTTGTGATCCTCAGTGGTTCTTCGTTTCTTTCAGCAGGCAATGGCCAAGCATATGAAAACGAGGAGGAGAGCTTCCCTTTCGAAAGACACCAGCAAGTAGGCGTCAGTGGGCTGTCCTTGGCAAGACTCAATGGGAAATTTTTCCAGGTCTGTGAGCTGGAAGAAATGTCTAGGAGTCAGCAGAGGTTAGAGAACTCCCAGGAAAACCAGACAGCCAAGCAAGCTTTCCTTTGCGGCGAAAGTGACCGAGGCTTACCAAGGGGAACCTTCCAGGAGGGAAGCCATAAAGCGAAGAGAAAACGGGCCAGCCCCAACTGGGGAACGGTCTTACGTCGGAGCTTTGAATTTCCAAGGAATCAGAAAATGCCAAAGTTGTATACCTGCACGTATTGCGGGAAGATCTCTAACAACAGCGCACACATGATAATACACGAGAGGACCCACACGGGTGAGAAACCATATAAATGCTCCGAGTGTGGGAAGTGCTTCAGTACAAACTGTAACCTCATGAAGCACACGAGAGTCCACACAGGTGAGAAGCCGTATAAATGCTTGGACTGCGGGAGAAGCTTCAGTGACAAAGCCTCCCTTATCGTACATGAAAGAACCCACACAGGGGAGAAACCCTATGAGTGCCCAGAGTGTGGGAAAAGCTTCACCTCGAGCTCCAACCTCATAACGCACAAAAGGGTCCACACGGGTGAGAAACCTTACAAATGCTCTGAGTGCGGGCAAAGCTTTGTCCACAGGCCTCAGCTTGTCATACATCTCCGGACGCACACAGGGGAGAAGCCATACGAATGCCTAGAGTGTGGCAAAAGCTTCAATCAGAAAGCCGATCTCATTATCCATGGTAGGACCCATACGGGAGAAAAGCCATACGAATGCACTGAGTGTGGGAAGAGCTTCATTTCTAGCTCGTACCTTAGGAAACACGAAAGGCTGCACACAGGAAAGAAAGCTCAAGCTGGGGAAGAAACACACAAATGTACGTACTGCCGAAAAAGCTTCATCAGCCGATCCAAACTTCTCATCCACGAGCGAACACACACAGGGGAGAAACCATTTGAGTGTGGTGAGTGCGGGAAAAGCTTCAGCACGAGCTCAAACCTTGTCAATCACAAAAGGGTACACACGGGAGAGAAACCCTACCAGTGTTTAGATTGCGGGCAGAAGTTCAGTACTAACTCGAACCTCGTCAATCATAGGAGGGTACACACAGGAGAGAAACCTTATGAGTGCTCGGATTGCGGACAAAGCTTTGGTCATAAAGCATCACTTAGGAGGCACAAGAGAATCCATGCAAGAGAGACGACCACTTGAATGCTTGGACTCCACATAAGGCGTTGATTCCAACTCTCTGCATAAATTAGAGGCAGGTTGCTTCAGAAAAAGGATTGTTTGCTTAGGTCCAATACGGGGCTGCATAACACAGCTCAAGGTGTCCTTTTTACAAAAGACCAAAAAGTAGGCCAATATTTGGGCAGAGACCTTCATATTTTATAAGCAAGGCACGGACAGCTTTATTCACAGGACTTCTTTCGGAGAACAGAGGTGAAGATGTTTCTTACAAGCACATGCATCACGCAACATCACAAAACTAAGTGTCAGTTTTTCCAAGTTATACAGATGTTTGCTTTGTGGGTCATAAAATATTTTTTTGATCCATAGATCATAAAATGTATGTGACCTGTCTTTGCAACAGTTGTGTGGTCCCAGCTATTCCAGATTCCTAAATTCAGGATTCCAATTGAGTACTTGGTTCTTCCCAACTTGTCATGGGCTGAGGGTTATGTTGAGCAAACAGGTCATGTTGGCATCAGGTCACCAATCCATGTATGACTGGGTGGCTTCCATCTTATGAGGCGAGCTGGTTCCCCCCCCCAAGAATCCCACAGCCTGTTAGTGTATGTTAAATATACAAAGGGAAGACTGCCTACTCAGGATCTCTTAACACTTAAAACAGAATAAATCTAGGGACTGCGTGTGTCACCACAATTAGTTACCTGACTGTATAGCACCCTTCTTTAAATATCTACGCTGTCTGCTGTCAGATCCAGAAAAAGTTCCTTGTACTTGCCTCCAAAGCCCTCCATGGTCTTGTTCCATGCCCCTCCCCATACCCTGATGCACCTCTCCCCATGACCTTTCCTTTGGCTGCAACACCATCACCCACCTAAATCTCAACTGGTCCCTGAAATGACTCTGCCCTTTCTTCCCTTGGTGCCCATTATGCTTGGAACCACCTCCTGATACACCCATGAGAGGTTCATAGTTCTCTATCTCCCTCATCAGAACTCCCTCTTCTGATTAGGACTTTGGCACAACCCCAAATCTTCACCCTCAACTGAACCTAAGCCTGTGTAACCAAAGAAACACAGGTCATTCTCCTTTACCTTCTCAATCTATAGACCACCACCACCCGAAAACAAGTGTTTTAGGCAAGTTTTAGGGCAAGTTTTAGTGGCAAGTTTTAGGGTGTAATCTCCTTAGGGCGGGGATCTGTTGTTCTTCTACAGTGGGGTCTCCACCTTGGGAATTATGACACAGGGTGGTGGGCGCAAGCACAAAATGGCTGCTTCAGAAGGTGGTGCCAACCACAAAAGGTCAGGGGGTGAAGTTATGCAGAACACTAACAGTAAACATTCAGCATCTTTGCAGTAGCATCTTGTGTCTTTTAAAACGAGCATATTTGAAAATATTTTGTTTGTACAGTTTAAAGGTAAAGGTTCCCTTGCTCAAAAGCCAGTCGAATCCGACTCTAGGGTTGCGGTGCTCATCTCCGTTTCCAAGCCGAAGAGCCAGCGCTGTCTGAAGACGTTTCCATGGTCATGTGGCCAGCATGACCTTCACATTTTTTAAAAAATATTTTGTTTGTACAGTTTAAAGGTAAAGGTTCCCTTGCTCAAAAGCCAGTCGAATCCGACTCTAGGGTTGCGGTGCTCATCTCCGTTTCCAAGCCGAAGAGCCAGCGCTGTCTGAAGACGTTTCCATGGTCATGTGGCCAGCATGACCTTCACATTTTTTAAAAAATATTTTGTTTGTACAGTTTAAAGGTAAAGGTTCCCTTGCTCAAAAGCCAGTCGAATCCGACTCTAGGGTTGCGGTGCTCATCTCCGTTTCATAGGCCTGTATCCCCACCTGACGCAATCCTCTTCCCACAGCAGAGTGGCGGGCGGTTGTGTCATTTTGTCACACACAGAGAATACCGTGTGTTCGGCACAAAGGCCCCAATTCACAGTTTTTCATGCAAGGGGTCCCCAGGTTTGGTCCCTGAAATCTCCAGTTAAAAAGATTCGTGGTGCCAGGAAAACCCTTCTCTTCCTAAGACTGAGCAAAGATGTTACCACTCCAGGAGAATGATACTAGTTTAGATGAGCCAGTGGTCTGACTCACTGTGAGTTAGCTTCACATGTTATAGGTGTTGATCAGCAGATGGAGCCCTTTAGATGCAGAAGATTCAGTCCTTGGAATCTCCAGCTGAAAGATCTTCGGTAGAAGCCAGTGCTGGGTTCTCCCTGTCTTTGACTGATCACGTTCTAAACTCTGATAGAGAGCCAATGTAGTGTAGTGGTTAGAGTGTCAGGTTATGATCAGGAAGACCCAGGACTGAGTCTCCACTCTGCCAGGTGTGACCTTGGGTCAGTCACAAGTTCTTTCAGAGCTGTTCTCTCAAGAGCAGTTCTCAAAAGAGCTCTCTCAGCTCCACCTACCTCACAGGGTGTCTGTTGTGGGGAGGGGAAGGGAAAGGAGATTGTAAGCCCCTCTGAGACTGAGTGAAGGGCGGGGTATAAATCCAATCTCTTCTTCTTCTAGACAGTACTGGAAAAGAGGGCCCCAAGGTCTGACTCCTCTGATGGAACCAGACCCCTGCCTTGAAAGCAGAAAATCCCCAGTTCAAGCCTATTTGCTTTCAGAAGTGTGTCAGGTGTTGGGAAAGTCCGTGGAGAGCCACTGCTAGTCAGAGAAGATAGCTTCGTATATTTGTTGTTTTGGGAGAAACTGTGGCTTAGCCATAGAGCACCCACTTCACACATGGAAGATCCCAAATTCAACCTTTGGCTTTTCTCCACCTGAGGCCCCGGACTGGCACTGCCAGCCGGACTAGACAGTTCTAGCATAAACAGGCCAATGAGTTGACTGCATTTCAGGCAGCCTCATCTATTTTTTCCTCAAGAAAGGGATGGGAATTGCACATGCTGGGCTTTGCCCTCAGCCTGTAGTGTCTGTGTTATACTGGGCATCCAAAGGTGAGTTTGTGAACCCAAACACTGTTGGATCTGAAGGTTGGTATCAGTAGGCCAAAGTTATCAAACCTCATTTGGCTTCTAAATATAAAGACAGTCACGCCCTTCCCTCTGTCTGCCCTGTGGGACTTCCCTTGCCTAGGTCAAGGGGATAAATCTAGTTGTAGAGAAGTTGCCTGTAGCCAAGTGAGGTGACGGTCCATGGTGGATTTGACATAGTATACCTAGCCTATTGATATAGTATACTCTTGGTAATATTAATTTTAGTTTTGTCTTTCGTTACCTGAGTTTGATAGTTCATTGGCTGTATTTTACTTTAGGGCTGTGGAATAAAGTTTGTTGAGTTTGTAAACCTTCGGCTCCTGTTGTTGAGTGGCTACGGGAGAAAAACAGCCAGAAATGTGGTGGAAAATGGGATTTATTCTTTTTGAAATTTGATCTGCAGATCTATCAAGAGACAGATGGTTGCTGGGTTAAGAAGCAAAAACAGACCAAAGGAGATAATTTGGTCTCTTGACAGTAGAATAGTAAAATATAGTTTGTCACAGGTTATCCCATTGTTTCTCTAAAAAGGCTTAGTAGTGCTTTAAATGGTTTAAATGGAAAAAGTTTGAGTCCAGTGGCACCTTTAAGACTGACAGTTTAATTCTGAGTATAAGCATGCACACAGAAACTTATTTTTGTTGTTCAGTCGCAGTCGACTCTTTGCGACCCCATGGACCAGATCACGCCAGGCCCTCCTGTCTTCCGCTGTCCTCTGAAGTTGGCTCAATTTCATGTTCGTTGCATCCATGACACTGTCTAACCATCTCATCCTTTGCTGTCCCCGTCTTCTTTGACCTTCAATCTTTCCCAGCATCAGAGTCTTCTCCAGTGAGTGCTCCCTTCTCATTTGGTGGCCAAAGTATTTGAGCTTCAGTTTCATTATCTGGCCTTCCAGGGAAGAGTCAGGGTTGATTTCTTTTAGGATTGACTGATTTGATCTTCTTGCAGTCCAAGAAGATCAAATTAAACTTTAACAAATTAAACTTTGTCGGTGCCACTGGACTCAGACTTTGTTCTATTGCTTCAGACCAACACGGCTACCCACCTGAATCTACCTGTAAGGTAGGTTAGAGTAGAAGGAAGTAACTGGCCCAATGTTCTCCAATGAGTAAATTAATCTTGGGTGGGGGACCCTCCACTGCCAACCTTTGGCGCACGGTTGTGGTGGAGAGTGCCATCAAGTCACAGCTGACTTACAGCGACCCTGTAGGGTTTTCAAGGCAAGAGACATTCAACAATGTACCTCCCTCTGAGTAGCAGCCCTTGACTTTCTCGGTGGTCTCCCATCCAAGCACTAATTAGGGCTGGCCCTGCTTAGCTTCCAAGATCTGGCAAGAGCAGACTAGCCTGGGCCATAATGCGCTTTATGCCAATGAAGCCTCCAGGGGGATAGATTTGTTGCCCAAAACTACCCTTCAGGAGTTGGGCCTCACAGCCAGTAGGAGTATCTAGAGCAGTGATGGCGAACCTTTTAGAGACCGAGTGCCCAAACTGCGACCCCAAACCCACTTATTTATTGCAAAGTGCCAACACGGCAGTTTAACCTGAATACTGAGGTTTTACTTTAGAAAAAACAACTCATACATTAACTTAAGATGATCTAAACAAAGTAAGGAAAGCAATCCCAAATGCTTTCGTTTACTTAAAATTATTTGGCAGAGAATTCGACACTTTAACGATGGGCTGGGCCTGGCTGAGGTGATGGCACGCGTGCCCACAGAGAGGGCTCTGAGTGCCACCCCTGGCACCCGTGCCATAGGTTCACCACCACTGATCTAGAGTATATCACATCTTTGTCACAGTCTTACTCCGAGGAGCACAGGGTGGCCCTTTCTCAGTTTTATCGTCACACCAGCAACCCTGTAAGGTAGGTTACACTGAGTGTGTAGGACTCGGCTCAAGGTCACCTAGGGAGCTTCACAGCAGACTGCAGATTTGAACTTGTAACAACCAGATCCTACCCATGCTAGCCACTATGCCAGAGAAGTAGAATTACCAACCTCTCAAGTGGTGACTGGAGATCTTCCACTGTTACAACTGATCTCCAGTCAACAGAGATCAGTTCCCCTTGATAAAATGGTTG